TAAAAAATCTAACAGATGAACACACCAAATTCTTAGCTGATTATTTTCATATGACAGAGGCTAAATTTTTCTCTTCTTCCTTTGGCAGGGATTTTCTAAGATCTTCTCGGCGAGGGCCACCAACTCCGACAACTGAGAATATAAACTGTCAGTTTAAAGTGTACAAACTATTTTACTAACAGAAAGACTGCAGAGATTATACTTAATTTCTGCAAATGGTGGGCCTATTAGTATCACTGATGGCAATGTTCCTTCTCTATCGTGCCAGTCCTTATCAAATTTACTTAAACATAAAAACATGCATTTTCATTTTTATGTATAAACTTCAAAGTATAACTAGTAGAAAGAGTTCAACCAGAGGCAATATAAGTCAGTAAAACAAAAAGCCAAGAGAAAAGTAATATGCTAACTGGGATCAAAATGTCATCTAATAAAAACGTTTTGCTGTATTAAATCTGGATCTGAGCTTTTTACTTCGAAAATGGCCTAAATTTACTATTGAGTCCCACAGATTTGTGAACAAGATGAGTTGACATAATTATGATTCTAAACTTTATAGGCCATAAACTATTCAACCCTAACAAGATTCCGAATCAAGCTGGGAGTCTGGTGTTGGATTTTAGAATTTCTGAGTGGTTTTGTCACCCAGAGGAAAATATGGCACTGAAATAAGCTCTAGTTCTATGATGTCCTTAGAAGTCAAGGAAGCACTGGAAGAATTTTAAGTTGACTAAAATGGGAAGAATCCATTTTTTTTTCATGAGAGAGTACATTCGGTCTTCTGATTCACACACTGTCATCAAACTTAACACTTTTCCCACCCACTAAAATTCAAACAAAACAAGTGACATTATAATGGTCAGAACATAATTCTGGAAAATGTAATTCTGGGTTTGAGTTTCTATAGCTTCAATGTGCAAAGGGAAGAAAAATCTAAGAGATGAGATTCTAAATAACTAGCTACATTCCTTCACTAAGAAGCAGATCATCTTACCTCTGTCTCAATATTTACTTATGGACTAATTTGAATATACATATAGCTGTGTGTATGTGTGTATATATATATATATATGTATATGTGAATTATGGACATGTATAAAAATGTTATGTTATTGATATATTGATTTATTGATTTATATCTTTCTTTACTCTGGAAAGGAATTGTATCAAACAAAACCAAACCAAGTGAGAATATTTACAAGTTGAATCTTTGGTGTATAGAAGATCTAAACTGTGACCTGTTAGAGTAACTTTATTGGAGCTCATACTTGGAAAGGGATAGTTCAACCAAAGGGCATGGGGGCTTAGAAGAACGGGGAAAAGCCTCCATGTTGAGTTAAGGTGCATTAATCTACCCATTTTGCCTTTTGATTGGAATTAGGTGTCAACACCACAAAGACAGCTTGATTAAAGCCTTTAGACACCTGGCCCTTAAAAAAACAAAGCCCTAAGCATGACAGAAGCAAATAATTAATCACCACCCACAATCACTATTCCCAAATCTTCCCCTGGTATCCTCAGAGGGCACTGGGACCACAACACTGAACACCACCTCCCAGCAAGGGTCTTTGGGGGTCTATCCTCTACTGTCCTCTGAATTTATCATAAAATGGATACAGAGATATTCAAATACTAAAAATGCCCTCCGAAATTTTGCAATTTTGGTTGTATTCTCCACAATCCAGGAATGAAATTTATTCTGGGATGAAAACTATTACATTGTCATATATCAGATTGTACAATGTTGTTAAGTATTTTTAAGTAAGGCAAAAGCTATAGACACTATATTATGTCATTCTTTCTTTAAAATTTTTTTATTTTAATGTCATATGAGTAGATATTAATAGAAAAAAATACAAAAATATTCTTCATACTTCTATGAAAAAAATAAAATAAAATTTCATAGCAATTAAAGAATAGCAATTATTAAGATACTTTATGTCATGATCTTAAAAGAATGACCCAAATGTTACCCAGTCTCTATTAGCTCACTCTTGATATATTCTTATATTTGGTTCAAAGTCATGAAGTTTTTAAAGAGTATTCTTAATTGCTTCTACATGAAACTTAAATTCCTAGAAAGTTGACTTGCATTTCTCGTCTTTGAACCAAGCAAGACCCGATTCTTAACTGCCAGGCTACCAGTCCGTGCTTACAACTAGCCAGAATAAAACATAGGAGCTATATAGTCCATGTTTATCCAGTGAGGCAAACCCTTATCTTTGTTTGGCTTAGCAGTAAAGAGCTAAAAAGTGTAATGGAAAGAAGCCCTTGCAATAAAATCCTCCAGCAAATATTTCTCACGTAGCTTCAAACAAGAAAGACACATTCTTCACAGCACTCCTTTAGCACTTCAGGGGTAGTGTTCTATTAAGCCAAGTAATAGGACCTCTTATTAACATTAACTTGTAACCAAAAAACAATGAGTTTGTAATGTGATTGCATAATGATCAACACACCAGCCTAAGGCAGGAGGATGAGAGTTTCTGTTTGAATCACTATCTCTGATGAACTTTTAAAGATTACTTCAGATCTCCTGTGTTTCAATTTTCCCTTTCATACATCTCAAAAGGGGAAAGAGGCCAGAGCATGCATCTCTACATCCTGCCTATCCAAAGTGCTCAGAGCCTTCATAGAGACGAGGTAGGGCTCCTGAAACCAAAGCAGATGTCTCCTTTAGGGTTTACTGTCTCCTGGCATGGTGTGTTGTCATCTTCTGATCCACCCCTGCATGTGAGAATGAAGAAAGGGGGAATCTTTGCAGACAAAAAGACACCTTGGCAAATATTTTTTTTAGCACAAACGTTCATAAACACTGAATCAGATCCAACATGGACTCGCCCAGTAAGTAAAAGGAAAAGAAGATTTCTATCAACAAACACCAAGAATCTTGTATTGCAGTACTAAAAAGTGAGATTATAAATAAGAGGAAAACAGTAACTGGGGAAGTTGGGAACCAGACAAAACACTAACTGGGTCACCTGGGAAGAAACCATCACCTTCCTCTTTTGACTCTAATGTCTCACTGATGGATCCTTCTGAGGGACTCAGAAGAAAGGATGCACAAAGCACTCACGTTCCACATTAGCTCAGGGTGGCACAGCAACAACCGGTACAGTGCACAGTGAAATGGATGAAGGGCTGCATAGTTTCAGGTACAAGAGAAAACTAACAGGACTATCAACTTCTCTTTACAACCTTCAAACATATGTATTACAGATCTAGAGGAGCATGAATAAGCAAATTTGCATTCTTCCCAAAACTACAGAATTGAATAGCTCATTTTTTCCTATCAAAAGTAGTGGTGAAGTTAATACAGCAACATAAAAGGTTATGCATAATATTAGACGTTCACAGAGTATGTGTGCCCTACCTATTAAAATATGAATAAATGGACTCAAACCATAGACTGAGTTCAAACAAAAACTGTGGCATTATGGCAGTGCACACTTTATAGAAATGAGAATGTCAATTTTCCCCTCTAAACAAATCTTAAGGAATGGTATAAAGTCTAGAAGAAAAAAAAAAAGGCATATTTGACAAATTCCTACTCTGTGCCAAGGAAGATTTCCAGGACTTCTTAGTTTTCAGGGATAAAGGCTACTGATGTGCACTTTTCTGTTAAGAATGATGATGGCTTCATGGTTGATGTCAGACCCTCACCAACAGGACAAGCAAAGTGACAGCACCAAACCTCCCAGGGAGTCAGGAACTCTAGTGATGCAGATGGAAATAGGCCACTGGGATTTGGAGGCAGAGAACCCAGACTCTTTCCCAAGTACATGACAGCCAGGGACAGCGGCTGCGGTCAGCAGACAAGGAAGATACGCCACAGCATTGATTCTGGATGTCTCTGTACTGATAGAAAATATGCAGCTGCTTAGAGTGATAGAAGATGTTACCCACCTTTCTCTGCAATGCATTTTTAGCTGGACCAAACCAGCAGATGATTCTGGTGGTGTTTTAAACTATCCAGAAGGTTTGAGACACAGTCACAAAACCTGGAAAACCCTTAGAAATCTGTAGTAGAATATCTATTACTTCTTCTGAGTTCAGCAAAAATATTTACTTTAGAAATGTAATTTGAAGATCAGACACAACAGAGAAAGCCAAGTAACCCATGCTAGTAAACACAAAGCCTTAAAGTGTGCCTTAATTAGGCATTCACAAAGTTTCTGCTATAATAAATTGAATCAGACCACCTAAAGACATGTTAAAAAGGGACAATTTAAAAAATGATAATAACCTTTGCCCTTATAATACTCTCAGAAATTACTTCCTAAATATATTTACTCATAAACTTCAATAAGAAGTGGCCCATTATATCACAAGTCCAGAGACCTTACTACATTGCATTAAACCTTAATGCAGGACCAAATAACCCATCCCAGCACTAAGCAAGTTCTCTAAGACTCTGAACACTTCATGATTCATGTATTAGAATTTTCCTAGAATTCTATTGGTTCATGTTAGTAGAAATATTTCTTGAATACCTAAAGTATTCTTAAATGTTCAACACTAACAGATGTTGGACTTATTTAAAATTGAGTCAGCGTTCTAAGTTTCCCTTAACCTTCTTTAGAAATTCAAGCCAAATGATATTAGATGTCAGAACTGCATGTGTACCCTTCCCCAGGGAGTTTCCAAATAAAACAAAAGAGGAAAAAAAATCACAAATCTTCCCTTCTCTGTTATTTATCTGTTAAATAGTTGCCATTCTCAAAACTCCCTTACTCTACTTTTTTTTTTTAAACGATGAAATGTTTAGCAGTTGTGAATGTCCTTATGTTTTCATACTTGATTTCTTATTTTAGATGCTTTACATTCGTAAGTAATTTTTATTGTATAACCAATACTTTCTTAGTCAGCCTTTGGTTTTACACGTTTTACTTCATTCTCCCCAAATCCCAGTTCTTTTTCAAGAGAAATCCTCATCTGGTATCTGGCATGGAATTGAGAAATCTGAGTTTTACCAACTAAAGGGGATCTTGTTTACTCACCATATCCAGGAATGCCTTCTAAAGGGGAAATTATTCACGTGCATCATGTTTGCAGATCTTCTCTCATTAATATTCTCCTCGTTTCCTAGGTTAGTGTAGTGATTTTCATAGATGGATTCCAACTCTCTTGTTTGAGCAGCTCTCATGGGCAATTATTGCAACAAGTATTGAATCCCAAAAAAACAAAGAGCATCACCAAAAGCCCTTCCAGGATTTGAAGAAAGGAACATCACAAAGCACTGCAGGTATGGGTCCATCCTTTAGGTTCCACTAGTCAGTCAACGTACTGAAAAAAACAGTCCAGATGCTAATCCTAAACAATGGCAAATATTGTCCTGGTAAAATCCAACAGCCAGAGTGTAAATTAATGCATCCTCGCAGGAAGGACTATGAAATGTGGGAAAAGAGGAGTCAAAAAACAGTTTCTTGCTATCCTTGTTAAAGGAGTGTTAGAAGGGAAATGGAAAACTCCAGGTTTCTTTGCCATGATGTCTTTTATAAATAAATATTGCTTTTTCTTCTTTCTTAGGTACATATTCTTATGTGGTCACTTAACACAGTGAGAGCTGAGATGTGTCGGACAAAGACCTGAGCGGAGGGGCTAGAAACCATACACGTATAACCAAAGCCAGCTTTGTCCCCAGATCTCAGAATTGCTGGCTTTGACTGCACAAGTAAGAAGGCAATGAGTAATTTCTTCTTTGCAGGACAGGATTACCATTAGCTACCATCATGACTTCAGAAGGCTCTGTCGTGATGAAATGCATTTCTGCTGCCTAACCTCATAATAAGGCTGTCTGCCCTCTTGAAGTAAAATGACTAAGCTATTGATTCTTTCACTGCAGAATTCTTTTTAATTTGTTGTTATCGAAACCATGTGTGGGCTTTTTATATTTTGCCTTGGAAAATGAATTTCACAGCTGCAAGTCAGACGTTGTCTAAGAATTTCTTCCCCCACTGTCTTTTTTCTCTTTCTCTTTACCCCAAATTCAGTTCCTCAGTAGATGTCATTTACTCTGATGCTCTGATATCGGAAAGATTCTCATGCCCAAGCCATACAGACCTTGCATGCTTTTAAACACAATGGCAACAAGCTCCTGCTGGAGTCCCCCAGCGCCGAATTTCCAGCAGAACCTTGGGAATCATCGCGGCTGCCTCTTCTGCTCTGGGCTGTGCCGCCCCGGGCTTAGCAGCGCAGGACACTTGCAGGCTCCGCGGTACTGTACATTAACTCTGCAGCAGTCCGCTCCGGCTGCAGACTGCTGCCTGACAGGGGATGCGTGGCGTCAAGGGGGCCCTCTAGGTGGGTTCCCAGAAACTGCAGAGTCCTGCGCTCCTTGCTAGCCTCCAAAGAAAAGCAAGCAAAAGGGGTTAAAGGAAGAGCTTACCCCAAGGAGATTTCTTTCAGCAAGTAATTACCAGGTAAGAAAAGCTAAACAGCAGGGAACCTGTAAATAACCTCACAAGGAAATGACACCTCGAACAAATACATATTCTCAGGGAGGGAGGTTTTTGTTTTGTTTTCCCATCCTATCCAATGAAAAGAAAGGAAATGAAAGAAGTCCGGAGAGAATTTGCAAATGACGGGGTTTGGTCAACTGGACTCCTTAAAAAAAAAAAAAAAAAAAAAAAAAAAAAAAAGGGGAAGCCTCGCTTCCTGGAAGCTTTGTAACCCTGTAGCTATAGCTGTCCACACTATGATTTTGGCCAGGAAATCCTGTGTAAGCCTGTGCAGAAGTCAGTTAGACTTCTACTGCAATTGTACACGTCATAAAGCCGCTTGTTTGATTAGGGGGAGTGTAGGTTGGAGGAGGGCTGAGATAAAATAGCAAAGTCTACTTTGCATTTCCTCCAGCTTGCCCTTTTGTTGCAAAAAGTCTGTCCAATAATACCCTGAAAGCGCCCCATCACTGTTGATGCCATTTTGGAGAAAGAATAAAATAGTAAACTCTTGCAATAGTAGGTTGGCACTTAAATGGTGTTTGTTTGGAATCGTAAGAGAATGAGCTTTACAGTGTACTCAATATGACTGTATCACTTTTAGCTTAGGTATTTAAAATGCTCTTATGGAATTGCTTAAAATTAAATGGAATATTGGCAACACAATGTCTCATGCTGTTATCCTGAGTTAGGATTCCCCAGGGAAGATCCGGCTTTACAAAAAATGTAACTCAGGTTTGGGAGGTGGGCATGTCCCATAAATTCAAAACCAGGGGTAAAGAAATAGGCTTAGTTTTGAAAACCAACAGCTATGATTTGAACAAATGACAGCCCTAGTAGAACCACTCATTCCTGCGAGAAGCAAGAGCTGAGTGATTCCTTTAAATGCAGTTTGAACTTTATCTTCAGAAAGATGGCCTAGCAACGCAAAAAGAAGCTGGGAATATTTGTTGAGATTTCTGAAAGCCTAGACTGTCTTCACACTTGGTATTGTTTTTTTTAAAAGGTCTAAATCTCTTCCATTGGGTCATCTATTATCTAACCCAGAAAACTTCACCCTACATTGTTTTTAACAAGCTTTGAATGCGTGGAATTAAACATAATAGAATAACTCAAAACTTGGTATTATAGTAGATATTTAAATTTTACTATTTAAGAGCTAGGAGTACTGATAACGTCCTGGCCCCTGTACGAAGAGCTTTACAAAATCATCTTATTTAATAGTACTCACAACAGCACTATTAGGTAAAGAGAGTTACTAGCCCTGTTCTCCACAGGGAAGGATTGAGGTGTTCAGAGGTTAGGCAGCATCTAAATCAGGCTCTTTGTATGTGTCACCATTTTAACCAATGATGTCTAACTCCACAGCCTATAAGCATTAGCACTATACTACACTGGCATTTCTATAAGAATAATAATACCACTTTGCATTAGTTTTATGCTTTCTAATTTTTTTCCATGTTTCATGTTATCTTCACAGATTCATGCTGAAGCAAGTACAACATTTTTGACATTATTTTAGAGATGAATCCTGAGAATTATTTGTTCATCACTCTATTTCCGGGTAGCAGATCTGGAAAGAATTCAGATTATTTGACACTGGTTACTTTTCTTTGATGGTTGTGAAGGCGGTGATTAATGATGGACATTGATTTAACTATTTCAAAACCAACATTCACTTCTCATATCATATACAAAGAATAGGCCTTCATGGAAAGTAGCAAATTTAAAGACAAAATGTTGAAGAAATATATTTCTCACTACATCAACTGTATTTATTTGATATTTCTGTCTTTCTTCCCTTCTACTTCCCTCCCTCCCTCTTCCTTCCTTCCATTGGTTCATTCTGTTCACAATACACTTGACAGCAAAAATATCTCTGAAACTTTTTCAACTGCCACAGTTCAATGTTTAATATTTGTTAGCTATATTTCTATTTGCGATCAATGATATAAGCAAAGCACCTTATAATAAAGAAATTTAGTTATTAAGTCATTAAAGGAGACTTTAAAATGCATTTATAATAAGAGGAGATTTTAAGTGAACTTTTCTGTTTTAAAAAACTTTATTAGTATATATGTTATTGTCATAAAGGAAGCATAAAAAAATGAGTGAAAGAAAACAACTTGGAAGCCTTGATAACTACTAGAAAAGTCAAATTTCCACTTGAGGAAAAACAAAGAAAGAACTGTCATTTATTACAGTTCAGGATACTAATACTCTACATTATAAAGAATCCTAAATTGAGTATTTCTACAGACTCAATCCAATAAATATAAAAGTAAGGGTATTCTTACATTATAGAAATAGTTCCTTTCCTGTAGTTCTTTTTCTTTTTCTTTTTTTTTTTAATTTGGACCAGGCATTGAACTCAGATCCTTGCATTTGTGAGGTAGGCAACGGAACCACTGAGCCAAATCCCCAGCTTCCCAGTATTTTTCTTTTAAATATATTATAATCAGGGTCTTAAAAGTTATGGCCAGTAAGTTACAACTGGTATTTAACATGTCTCAGTGTCTCATAAATGTGTGACCTTCAAGAAATAATACAACTAACCTTAAAAACAAGTTCTAAAAGATGTAGTATTCACAGATGAGAAGGAATACTTTTCTGTTTTGTTCTACCAAAACAGGAAACACCTAAGAATTACCATAATTCTTTTTACAGCCCAATCTAGCCCCATTATTTCAGTCAGTTAAGGAGTTCTGATGACTAACAGGGCATCATAGATTGGCATAATCTTGGTGAGGTCGCCATGGCTATGGTGTAGCCTCAGCTTTGCCAGAAGAGTTGGATTTTGTTTTGTTAATTTTGCAGGTTTTTAAAATTTTAAACCCACAGCAAGTGTAAAAGCACTTTATCTTTCACATATACAGCTTTCATATAATAAAAAAATAGTATAAACTACAAGCTCAGTTCAAACCAAAATAATCTACATTTTCACCAACAGATTGTTTAATACACTGTCAATCAGAACAAAAAATGTTAACTGACCAGTGTCCTTATGTCTTTTTCCAGTAAAGTCATTTCATGGTTAGAATGTTAGCGATCACAAGAATTACAGTTTTCAAATTATGTTCTCAGGAATCCTGTGATTCTGTAAGGTTGTAATGGACCTCCTAAGGAGGAGACTGAGTACCTTGTGCTGTTCTAACCAGAGGGACACTGCTTTTAACATTTTAAATTTGGTTTGCAAAAGAACAGTTTTTCTAAAAAATTAAATTAAATAACAAACATCTACAAAAACCTAACAGGAGTACAGAATTAACACTTTATTGGCACAAATTTTTGGTACACTGTCAGTTTAAGACCCTATTCTTTTCCAAACCCTTCAATTATAGGCTTCCTTTACAATAATACAATGACTAAATTATACCTTTATGCTAACATAATCTTAGTACAATAAAGCCACGCCCTAGTTTATGAACTTTGGTGTTTCTTAAACCTTTAAGTCACTTGTAGTTTTTAGATATGGAGGGCGTGATCACTTTTACTCATTGATTTTCCCTTTCTCTCATCAAGTTTCACTTTCAGAAAGTAATTATAATTTCATATATTACATATATTTCTGTCACTAGCATGTTCTGGTATAATCCCTAAACTAATATCAGAATTTGGCTCAGTATAAATAACAAAATCTCTTCTGTATATCAATATTAAATGACAATGACCTAAAAGACAATCTTTTATTAATTTTAAATGAATACCAATCATCGGTACAGATATTTTAGGGAAGTCCTCCTTTTTTCAAGAGACTTATTAACTTTTGTCATTTGGCTGTCAAAAACAAACACCAAAATGTTGATCCTTCATTTTACATAAATGTATTTACATATATAAATTCCTGTATATATTTTTTTGCAAGTTCTAGCCATATACTAGTAACATAAATATGCTATATCCAAGGAAATAGAAGTGACAGTCAATTGGATATCTTGAGGGATATAACTGCTTGTTTAAAAAAAAGTGGGCAATGAATGTGTTTTCAAAATTCTCTAAAAAATGAAAATGATGGCTATTATCACTTTTGTGGGTGGCATGTATAATCATGCATACCATGGTTCATTTTATTGCATATATCATCAACTAATACAGATGAGAGGTCTTCCAGGGTGAAGAAGGAGCCTCAGGAAGACAGCACACTCCTGCACCCCACCCCCAACAGGAAGAGAACATTCAAAACCAAATCCTCTCTTCCATTCCTGTCCTCTGAAAAGAAGCAGCGTCTTCCTCTGGGTATTTATAACACCAGAGACATTGTTGGCACTCTGTAAATGTTAACTAATAACCACATTGATAGTGATGACTTTTCCTTTCTGGCAAGTTCTAGCAGGGTCTGAAGGCTTGCTATTCAGCACATTCATAACTGAAACAAGAGGAGCCCTTCATGAGCCCGTGGTTCCAACTGCTAAGCAAGCGTCAGGGCCCTGCGTCATGTTTCAGCAAGTGGCTAGTATATTTAATTTCTGTAAATTCTTATACCCAAGGAAACAGCCATCAATTGAAAAATGGAAAAAAATCTATTAAATTCCTACTTTAATGATTTGTTGAAAATGTCCATAATTTAGCTAATACTTAGATAGTTTAAAAAATCATTTTGAATCATACAGCCAAAGCTTGAATCATCTAATCTTAAATGATGAATAAATACATTTACAGAAAAGTAAAAGGTATATCATTAAACAATACATTTCATAATTAGAATATTTAGAATACTTGATAATTATTTTAACATATTTTTGGAAGTGGACGAGTTTGAATATCTAATGTCAGAATACAAAAAAGGCACTTAATAATTCTATTAAAAAGACAAATGTGGGGAAAAATCCACAACAAGTTTGAAGAAGAAAAAGTCAAATTTGTATTCTGTCTTGGAGCCTCAGGATGTGATCACTCAATCCTAGTTCTTCTTTTTTCTCTTTGTGTAATTTTGACCAATTCACTAAATCTCTTTGAGACACAATTTCCTTACCTGTCACATGCACGTATAAGCAAATGCATAGGTTATTCATAACTTTAATTTACTGGGGTAAGTTACAGTATATAAAAGACTGTAATATGAAGAAAGCTCTTAAAAAGTTATTGACATACATTCTTAAATT